TCTCGTGCCATGGTGATCTTCAAGTGAATTGCATAAAAAATGAGAGGGAGGCACTTTTGAAGTTTAAAGAAAGCCTGACAGATCCATCAGGAAGACTTTCCTCTTGGTTTGGAGAAGACTGCTGCAAATGGAAGGGGGTGCAGTGTGACAAAAAGACCAGGCATATCGTGGAGCTCAAGCTACGGAATCCACAACCAGGTGTTGTTAAAGATGATGGGACAACTTACAATCTTGGGGGTGAGTTAAATCCTTCATTGCTCAATCTGAAGCATTTACACCACTTAGATTTGAGCTTGAACAATTTTGGAGGACAAACAATACCTGAATTCTTTGGTTCACTAGAGAAGTTACGGTACCTTAATCTCTCTGGTGCTGCGTTTGGAGGGTATGTCCCTCCAAATCTAGGTAATCTTTCAAACTTGCATTATCTTGATCTTAACACAAATTTTTATGCATCACAAGAAGGTGACTTGAAATGGATCACCAATCTTTCCTCTCTGCAATACCTTAATTTGGGAGGTGTGAACCTCAGCAGTACTTCAGACAATTGGCTACAAATCATTGGCACGATGCCTTGCCTTTCTGAGCTGCATCTCCCTTCTTGTGGACTCTCCGTACTGCACCAAACCCCCTCTTCTGTTAATTTTTCTTCACTCCGGGTTCTTGATCTCTCCAATAATGGCTTCAACTCCTCACTACCTAATTGGTTGTTTGAGCTCCAAAAGCTTGAATACCTTGATCTCAACTCTAACAATCTTGGAGGCAATTTCCCAGCAGAATTTTCTAACATGACTTCCCTCCAGATGCTTGATTTGTCCGAGAATTCATTTATTCCAGGTCAGATACCAATATCTTTAGGGTATCTTTGCAATCTAAAAACGTTGGTCTTGTCTAATAACAGCCTCATTGGTGAGGTAACCGAGTTCTTTGATGTTCTGTCTATGTGCAACAACAGTAGCTTAGAGACACTAGATTTGGCGCGAAACCAACTAGGCGGTTTCCTTCCCAGCTCACTTGGACACTTCAAAAAACTGAAGCATCTTCAACTATGGGAGAATTCCTTTGTGGGTTCAATTCCGGATTCAATTGGGAACCTGTCATCATTGGTGGAATTCTACCTGACTGACAACAGGATGAACGGAACTATACCGGAGAGTCTAGGAAAATTATCAGAACTAGTTGCACTGGATATCTCAGAAAATTCATGGACCGGTGTTGTTTCAGAAGCTCATTTCTTCAATCTCACCAGCTTGAAAGATATGGTAATTGCCAAGTTCTCCTTGTCTCCAGACCTCACCCTGTTCTTCAATGTGAGTCCTGGTTGGATTCCCCCTTTCAAGCTTGAATTCCTCAAGCTGAGATCATGCCAGGTTGGCCCCAAATTTCCCGGATGGCTCAGAAACCAAGATCAGCTAAGTACTGTTGTTCTTCGGAACACAAAAATTTCAGATACAATACCTGAATGGTTCTTGGAATTGGGTTTGTCCCTGGATGAACTTGATCTTGGTTATAACCAATTAAGTGGGAGAATTCCAAACTCACTGAAGTTTCGTCCTCTATCAAAAGTTCTCCTCCACCGGAATTGCTTTCAGGCTCCTCTGCCGCTGTGGTCTGCAAATGTAAGTGAACTGTACTTGAACAACAACTTATTTTTTGGCCCCATCCCTACGGACATTGGTGAAAAGATGTCACTGTTGATGGTCATAGATATCTCCAACAACTCTCTGACTGGAGCTATCCCTTCCTCCATCGGTAATCTGACTACTTTGCTATCTCTCATCGTCTCCAACAATTATCTCTCTGGTAGAACTCCAGAAGTCTGGGATAATCTTCCATTTCTGTTATATCTGGACATGTCAAACAACTGTTTATCTGGAAAGATACCAAGCTCCATTGGCTCTCTGAGTTACCTCAGATTCTTGATGCTGAGCGACAATCGTCTTTCTGGGAAAATTCCTACAGCTTTGCAAAACTGCTCGAACATGGGCACCCTTGATTTTGGAAACAATGAACTGACAGGAAAAATACCTGAGTGGTTTGGAGAAAGGATTCCAACTCTTCTGATACTGCGCCTCCGATCAAATTTCTTTCATGGAGATATTCCGGACGAATTATGCAACCTCTCCGGTCTTCACATACTGGACCTGGCAGAAAATAATCTATCGGGATCAATTCCACCATGTGTAGGGAATTTGAAGGGCATGGCAATGGATCTTCAGTCTGTAAGATATGAAGGACAGTTGTGGGTGGCAACAAAAGGAACGGAATACTTTTATACTACCAGTGTACTCTACCTTGTGAACAGCATTGATCTCTCAAGCAACAGGCTAGGCGGGGAGGTACCGGATCTGAGGAATCTTTCGAGATTAGTCACATTGAACTTGTCCCGAAACCATCTGACTGGGAAGATCCCTGAGAGCATCGGGAGCTTGCTGCGTTTGGAAAGCCTAGACCTGTCCAGGAATCAACTTTCTGGCCTCATCCCACCCAGCATGGCTGCTTCCACATTTCTGGCTCACTTGGACCTCTCATACAATAACCTCACCGGAGAAATCCCAACTAGTAACCAGTTTCAAACCTTCAATGATCCGTCCATTTATGAGGGTAATCCCGGCCTTTGTGGGGTCCCTCTACCAACCAAGTGCTCCGGGGACGATGGTGAGGTACCTCCTTCTCCAACAGGAAGAAAACAAGAAACGGAAGGTGCAGATAGGAAGGAACAGATGGGGCTTTATATCAGCGCTGCTCTGGGTTTCATTGTGGGGTTTTGGGGAGTTTGTGGAACACTAGTGATAAAGAATTCCTGGAGGCTTGCTTATTTCCAATTTGTCAACAACATGAAAGAAAGGATAATTATCCTTGTCTCGGTGGTGTTAGCTCGCTTAAGAGGATTGATAAACCCCCGAGGATAAGAGGACAGATCTCGTGTTGGATTTTGTAACATGAAATAATCTAAAAATGGAATGTACAACCAACCTCGAATACTTTCACTTCTAAAGAAAAAAAAAAAAAAGTTTAGTGGCCAAGTTAATTCAACTCTTGGCAAGAAAAGTCTAAATAATCAGCAGATTTGATTGATGTATCGACAATATTATTCATATTCTGCACCCTTGAAAGAAAGAAGCATTCGATCAAACATGAAGGTATTCAAGGACTTGAAATTCATCTATTGGACTCGAATTATGTTGTAATATTTGATGCGAGCAGGCACCTAGCGGGTAGCAGGTGGCCTACACGGGTAAAAATCAATACCACATTTGTTTTCAGAGTGGTCATGAAACAAATACCGCTAACAATCTCTACTTGCAAGCAATGGATCAGTCATCAGTGCCAAAGTAACGATCTCCGAACTCACCCATACCTGGGATGACTCGGAGCTCTTCGTTCAATGCAACATCAATTTCTGAAGTGATAATTTTCAAGTATGGGAAACGTTTGCAAACACAATGGATTCCCTCCGGAGCCTGAAGTAAAACAAAACAGAAGTAAGATTAGTTTGGTAGAACTGGAGATGAGAAAGGAAAATACTGGGGAAAGGGGGAGGTTGAAGGCATCCAAAAAACACCCACTGATATCAAGTTCAGGAATATAATGTGGGATACTGGAACACCTTTCTGTATCAGTAGTTCAATTGCTTGGTTGGCAGAGCTCCCTGCAAGCAAAGCCATCAATGTAGGTTTTTTCAATATTGAGCATAGATGATTGAATATTATAGAAAGGTTTATAACATTTACTATCTGGCTTTTTCTTTT